ATAATACTGGACAAGTTTCTACATTAACTATATTCTTAGATGGGATAGAAATATCGTTAGAATCCTTTGTATTTTTAGTTGCAGAATTAATTCAGTTGGAGGAACAGATTGTCACAGAGAGGGATTCTTCTTCAGCGAGTGTGAAACGTCTGGAGTGTCAGCTCGGACAAGAACTCGATGGACTTAGGTCTCAGCTTGCTGCCATCGTCACAGAGCGCAACGCACTACTGGTATGCCAACGCAGTCTCTAGCTGCTATTTACAATTAAATTTCCAAATAATCGTTGTTTTCATTATCCGTTTTTATTGCTTTCGTGCGTAGGATGAAAGCTGAGATGCAACTTTATCAGGAGTCTATCAATATCGATAGACTCCTGACTTTATGTATGTGTTACAAACCTTGCAATAGTTCACGCTGCTCATTCGTGGCAAAGTTTCGCTTTCGTAGCAACGCTGTTTTTGCTGGAATTGTTGCAGACAAACGCGAGGCAGGAAGGAATGCAGTTAGAGCCGCAGTCAAACATGAGCCAGCCCACCGAACCTTGCTCCCCGGCAGAGAGCGACAAAACATAACTGACATACGAGTTTACAGTAATCACAACAAAATATGTTTAATCAAAACATGAGAAGCATAGCTTAATATAATCTTATATAACCTATACAGCAAATACATGGCCTCTATAGCATATATATATATAAACTCATTGCGTTATATCCGGCGAATTATTTTTGCATTTTTTCGAATAATTATATGATAATTAGATCGCAGAAGTGATTAATCGTACATTTAAGAAACGATGACATATAAGTTGATTGTGTGACTTTGCGTGTATCTCGGCAATCACACTATAGCTAGTTAGTTATAATTAGTTGTTGTGTCTTCGCAGCATAAGATGCTGCTATGTAAAACGTTTATACGGTCCATCGGTGGGCAAAGCAAGGCCATATAGTTAGTACGCTCCAATGTATTTCTAATAAATCATTCTCAAATGACCGATGGTGTTTTTATGCGAAGTTTGTGGAATGAGAGGGCAGCGGGCTTATCGCTTATTCAGAAGTGCTGCGATGATTGTGAACTGACATGGGAGTTCCGCTTGAATGTTAGTGATGGTGGTTATGGTAGTCATACCTCTAACCTTTGCCTCCTTACCCTAACATCTACACTGCAACCCCTAACCCTTACCCTTTCCTGCTCACTCTAAAGCTAATCCAAATCTAACTGTATCTCCAACTCCATAACCCTAGTCTCGTTACCCTCGTACTAAGACTAAATCTAACTACACATCTAACCGTAACCTTTACCTCTACTCTGATCGTAGCCATAACCATCTTCACACGCGCCTACTGCAACACACTGCGTGCGTGCGTGTGTTCGTCCATGCATCCGTACGTGTGCGTGTCAGTTTACTCGTCGTGGCCAAGATTAAAGCGGTCATCTGTCACCCGTGTCCATCGTCGCTGTCATCTGTCACCTGTGTCCATTGTCGCTGTCATCTGTCACCTGTGTCCATCGTCGCTGTCATCTGTCACCCATGTCCATCGTCGCTGTCATCTGTCACCCGTGTCCATCGTCGCTGTCATCTCTCACCTGTGTCCATCGTCGCTGTCATCTGTCATCTGTGTCCATCGTAACTGTCATCTCACCTGTGTCCATCGTCGCTGTCATCTGTCACCCGGTTCTGTCGTAGCTGTCATCTGTCACCCGTGTCTGTCGTCGCTGTCATCTGTCACCCGTGTCCATCGAACTCATCTCTCACCTGTGTCCATCGTAACTGTCATCTGTCACCCGTGTCCAAACACCTCGTCCAGCGTGAGGTCACGGTCACAGAGCGTGGGTCGCGGCCGCCTCAGATATCGCGCGCGCCTCGCCTGCACGAATGCAGCCAGTAGCTCAGTCCCTCCCTCCCCCATGTCACTACACACTGATAGTAGCTCGCCCCAAACCGGCGACCCACACATTCGTGCCTCCCCCTCTCCCCCTCACCACGCGACCACACCTGCCCCTCGTCTCTCTAAGTACTGACGCACACGATGCATGTCTACTTGCACCATGCAGAGCACCGGCTTCCCGCGAGGATATGACTGAAACACCAATTCGCAAATGGAACTGTGAACGCCTTCGCAGACGTGCATCGGATGCACGTCTGCAATCTGGCAGATGGGTAACGCAGGAGAGCTCTATTCGGTGAAAGCTTGTGTCTAGTTGAAACATAATGTTGCGTGAAGCTATGCTCGGATGTAACCATGTTGCGTGAAGCTATGCTAGATTTGAAAGCAATGTTGCGTGAGAGAGTAGACTAGTGAAACAATTTGGCGTGAAGCCATGACTGATTGTAAACAAGTGTTCGTGAAAGCCATGCTTAGTTGAAACAATGGTTGCGTGAAGCCTGTTGCTAGTTGAAAAAATGTTTTGCTGTGTTAGCTATGCCTT